TTTTTCTTGATTTAAATGCAAAATACATGTTCACTGCACATAGTTATTGAGATTTTCTTAAATCCCACCCCTTTTAGTTTTTCCCCTTACAGGAAATCGAGATCGTGAGTTTGGAGCTGGTGATTCGGTCAATGATGGCATAAGTTTTATTAAATAAAAGGGAATCCATTTGTTTTGCTTTCAAATATGGATTAATACTGGATTAAACGTTTTTATTTCATTTCATATTTTTTTAAGACATCCTTTATTTTTATTATGAATGAATAACTGTTTTTCTTTTATGTTTTTGGCTCGATACGAATTTATTTTTATGAATTGGTACAAGAATTTGAGTTTTGAGAGATTGGGTCTTTACAAATAGTATCAGAGCGGGTCTACGTTTCTGTAGAAAAAAATTCATTTTCGCAACGTGAACAGTGACCGAGTCACTGTTTGTGACGTGAAACAGTGACCCAAGTCACTGTTCATGACGGGAACAGTACATATTTAAAAAAAAAAAAGGGGGTCATTTTCAGTCACTGTTTGAACAGTGACTTTTTCTAAAGAATCCTAAGTTTGACCGTTATAAATCTCTTGATTTAAGTTTAAAAAAAAAAATTTGACAAGAATAGTGACCGAGTCACTGTTCGTGACAGGAACGGTGACCCGAATCACTGTTCGTGTTGGGGACAATTAACGTTTCATATATAAAAATATATATATATTTCTGACATTGCTTTACGTGTGTGTTTGTTTAATTGTTTAGTAGGTTTCATCAATTTTCTCTTTAAAGAATTTTTATGGTTTGTTCAAGCTAATTACACAAAAAAAAAAGCCATCATTTCCCTTTTCATATATTTACATGCACATTTATATATATATTTGTCGATGTGTACAGACATGTATGCGGAAACTCATTCGCGTTTCAGTAAAGTTTTGGGTTCAGCCTTTAAAATATATATATATATTATGTTCTGTCACCGTTCCCGAGACTAAAAAAAAATTTTTTTTTTCATTCCCAACACTGTTTATGATGCAAGTCACTGTTTTAATAAGAATGCCATCACACGATGCCACGTTCTAAGCTCCGGTGCTCCTAAATCAGGTAGAAAGATTTACAAATTACATTTCATATAATGATGACTGTTATGACCACGCTTAAATTTTTTTTTTTTTTTTTATGTTTGCAATTTATGAAAGATTATGTGTCAATTAACAATTATGTGGATAAATATGTATTAAATTGCAACTAAGTAAATTAGACATTGCTTTATTTATAAGAAGTGTGCTTATGCCATTATGATTTGTCCCGTATGTAGTCATGAAACGATATGGTTAACCATTGATTTAAATTGAATAGTTAAGTGATTATAAAAATTTATTTTTCTAGATGGTTAATAGACGCACGCAATCGGCTAGAGACCAGGCCCGCAGACGTGAAATGTTCATGAGATTGCATAGGACATATATGAGGAATCCAAACCACAACCTGTTCGAGCATTTAGACGCTATAGCGCGAATTATCAGGGGGGCGGGGAGTAATGGTCATGAATTTCAGAGAGATGGGATTGTCTATCATCTCCATAGAACA